CAGGTCATCGAGTTTATAGGAGCACAACTCAATTCAGTTCGAGCCCAGGCATATTTACCACGAACCAGTGTGGACAGACTTTGCTCAATAGCCTGTCGGGTCCAAAGAAGCGGACGGGTTCAGGCATTACTCATACAAAAACTGTTGGGCCATATGGCATCCACAATCATCTTAGTTCCCAATGCCAGACTACGAATGCGGCCACTTCAGCTGTGGTTCAACGCGGCTTTTCAGCCCCTCCACGAATCGTCAAGACGGCTTCTTTTTCCACCCACTTCAGTTCTCCAGACGCTAACTTGGTGGATGGACCCGGACAATCTCACGGTTGGCGTCCCATTTCACCAGCAACAGCCTTCCATCTCGCTCCACACCAATGCATCCCTTATGGGATGGGGAGCACACTGCTCTAATCTACGAATACAAGGCACCTGGCAAGCACACGAGAGAGTAAATCACATCAACTTCCTCGAGCTACTGGCAGTGTTCAAAGCGCTATGATCTTTCGAACTCATGCTTCGAAACCGATCGGTACAGGTAGCCTCCGACAACACAGTTACCGTATTTTACCTGAACAAACAAGGTGGTACGAAATTGGTACCGTTAGCTCAGCTATCCATGCAGATCTGGGACTGGTGTATCCCCAGGGGGATTTTGCTAACAGCAGTCCATCTTGCAGGGATTCACAACCAGGAGGCAGACACCCTGAGCAGGAAGATGTCGTCGACCCACGAGTGGGAACTGGACGATCAAGTGTGCAGAGACCTTTTTACCCGGTGGGGTACCCCGACTCTAGACCTGTTCGCGACAGTGTTGAATTCAAACTGCGTGACCTACTGTTCCAGGGCGGGAACAGGTCCGAACTCATTAGGGGATGCATTAATGGTGAGTTGGTTGGATTCATTCCTGTACGCCTATCCACCAATCCCGTTGATCACTCGCACTCTGGAGAAAGCTGCTCAGGACCGGGCACACCTGATTCTCATTACTCCACTCTCAGGCTGTCAAGACACATGTTCTGTCGTCTGCCATGAATTCTTCACCTGATTACATAGGGGAAGGGGACAATCCTTCACCCCGACTTCAATATTTTCAACCTTACCTCATGGCTCCTGCACTAGCTGTCGCGGTCGACCCCAACGTGCTTCCACAGAACTCCTCAGTCCCGACACCAGAACATCAGTCGATACCGGGAGAACCTGCCCGATTATCTTCCGACAATAGATCACGGCGAGAGATCGACTTTATCTTACAATCCGCCCTTCGACCGTCCACTCGCCAATCATATGAGGCGAAATGGAAACGCTTTACTGTGTTTGCAGAAGCGAATCATTTTACCCCAGAATTAGCTTCCATTGATAATATCCTCCACTTTCTGCTTTCTCTACATCAATTGGGACTTAAGCCTATGTCGATTAAAGTCTATATCGCAGCTATATCACACTTCCGTGGTTCCCTTTTGGGTTCATCCGTATTCTCCCATGCACTCATCCATCGATTCTTTAAGGTGCCACAAAATCTCCACCCTCCAATCCAACCATCGGTACCGACTTGGAGTCTGTCTGTAGTCCTCCACGCACTCACTAGAGCTCCCTTCGAACCTCTCGCAATGACAGACCTGAGACTGCTATCTTGGAAAGCAGCCTTCTTGGTTGCCATAATGTCAGCGAGAAGGGCAAGTGAACTATCTGCCCTCCGGGTGGATCCACCATCTCTTAATTTCCATAAAGAGAAAGTAGTGCTCTGTACCGACCCGGCGTTCCTTCCCAAGGTGGCCACACTGTTCCACATCAACCAGGACATTGTGCTTCCAGCATTCTTCCCATGCCTGTCCACACCAATAGAGAAGTCTCTTCACTCCCTTGATGTGCGCCGATGCTTAGCTTTCTATCGGTCACATACAGAAAGCTTCAGAAAGACTAAACGCCTGTTCATCAGATACTCCGACCCCAATAAAAGCACACCTCTTTCTGCACAGAGACTATCAAAATGGATAGTCCAGACTATTGAACTGGCTTACAAACTGGCAAAAATGGACCTTCCTGTGACGCCCAGGGGCTATTCCACTAGGGCCATGGCAGCCTTGTCAGCCTTCTTGTCGGGCATTCCACTGCTGGGTATCTGTAAAGTGGCTACATGGACAACTCCCTGTACCTTTACCAAACACTGCAGGCTCGATGTCTGGGCCAGGCAGGACTGCTCCTTTGGACGGGCCGTCCTATCATCCATCCTTCACTGACGACACCAACCCACCTCCAGTGAGTGAAGCTTGTTAATCACCCATTGTGTGATGCACAGAGACCACGAAGAAGAAAGTCAGGTTACTTACCTGTAACTGTCGTTCTTCGAGTGGTCATCTGTGCAGTCACACAACCGCCCTCTGGCCCCACTCAGTGTCGAGGGATGGGATAATAGTCTTTCTTTCTATTGATTTCTCTGACGAATGGTACGCTCTGCTAGGGGGCGATCTACCGGTCTCCAGAGACTGAGGAAAATGGTGGGCACTCCACCTTATATAGCACCGGGGGGAGGGGTGCGGAGTTCCCGCCAAAAACCGTTGCAGCTTGGGTATTCTGGTCAGCAACAGGCTCTGCGTAGGCGCAGTACCCATTATGTGTGGCTGCACAGATGACCACTCGAAGAACGACAGTTACAGGTAAGTAACCTGACTTACTCAAACTCAAACTGTATACTCAAACTCAAATAAACTATATACATTTCTTTTCCCCAATTTCATTCATTCTTAACCTCAGCACTTTAAGACCTGCTTTGGCACTTTATGGGTCTTTATGACTTCTCCTTTGGGCTGAGGTCAGCCATGGTTAACTGAAAATTCAGTAACTAAGTGAGGGGGTATGGGGATCCTGCTGTACTTATATATGTATATAATCATACACATTCATGCACACATATTTCACACTTAAAAATAACAATTGATGAATTAGGAAAATGGATTTTGCACTCTGTGTGTGTGTATGGTGGGGGCAGGGGCAAGAGACAGACAGAAACAGGTAAAATAAAAGAGTCTGGAAATGATTTGTTGGTCTTAATAGTGAAGGAATGCATTTTCCATCACTGAGAATTTGTATACTTTAGACAAGATTAATTCCTATGAATATGGGACATTCAGAAAATTACTAAAGCAATGTGAACTTCCTGGGAATTGGGACTAAATCTTGCGGATTTCAGTAGATTTTTAAAATATTTTCAACTGAATTCAGAATTTTTGTTATATGTTCATTTGGAACTTTAAACTATTCTAATGTTTCATTAAAATATTCTCTGAATTATTATTATTATTGCCAGTATTAACTTTATTTATTTATTTATTTATCAATTGATATACTGCCTTTTTCCTACAAAGGGCTCAAGGCAGCTTACATCATTCACCTCCTCCATCTTATCCCCACAACAACAACCCTGTGAGATAGGTTGGGCTGAGAGTCTGTGATTGGCCCAAAGTCACCCAGTTGGCTCCATGGCTGAGTGGGGACTAGAACCCAGATCGTCTGAGTCCCAGTCCCATGCTTTTAACCACTACAACACACTGGCTCTCCTTGACAAAACTAAGTGAATTTTTTTTCATGGAAAATATCCTTTCCATTGAAAGTATAATTGTACTCAGAGGTACCTCCAGGCATTAAGACATCACACTGGATAAGCATAATGTGAGAACTCTGGAGAAAGTGCAGTATAATTTTATTCCCTAGACAGCAGTGCTGATGGGTGTTGTAAAGAAACCAGTGTGATATAACTTACCTTGAAGGCCAGATTATAAATTTTAATGGAGGAGTGAGAGTAGCTTTTGGCTGGGTAAGCATGATGCAGAAATGGGAAGATACCTGCTTGGGAATACTAGACCCAGTGTAACTGGAGAGACAAACTTCAGCATACAGCTGCATCACTGGAGAATCAAGGATTAATGCCTTATTTGGGATTATGGAGTGAAGTTATCAAAATGAATGAGCAGGTAGACTTCATATACTGGATCACAATATTGTTATTCTAAGTTAGCAGTTTAGTTGCATGGAAATATTTTTGCAAGACCTAGAAATGCTGAGGCTAGCTGCTGGTGTCCTTCTGTGCTCTTGTGAAATATTATAAAATGCTCAAGTTAATGTCCCTACCTCCTTCTCTCCTTTTCTTGTCTTGCATAAATGCAAAATGGCTGTGCTAGTGGTGTTCCAATTGTTCTAAAACCAGGCAGCCTGGACATAAATACAATTATTATCAATAAAAATATAATATTTGCTTTTGTTAAATTTAAAGCCATGAGCAAAAAGAACAGGAACAATTGCCATCCATTAAATACACACACTTATACCATGGTATTAGTCCCATTTAGGAAGTATAGGGCTGCAAGCTTAGAGCTTTGTGGATGTTTAAGGACAATTGCTGAATAATTTTTGGAATTGTTTCATAGTGCCACGGATTGTAACTCTGAAACTGTGATGCAATAGTATTTTAACTGTAATATCAAATTAAGATTTAAATTTAAATTTTAAATTCAAAATTATAATTAAGTTGTTATCTTAAAATCTAGATATTCCTTTTTGTCTAAATTGTTTTTCCCAAAATATGCTGTGCAATACAAGGCAATTTAAGTGTAAATCTGAAGGAAATGAAAATCACCTGAGAAAAGTATACTATTTGTACTTGAATGATAGACTGTGATGAATTTTTTTTTAAAAATTCCTTTTATTATTAAAATGAACACTTATGCTACAGTGTTTAAGATTTTCTGAATTCTCTAAGTTCTTTCCTAGTTCAGGCATGAATATTTTGGAAAATAATTTAATTCACCCTCCTCAAATTAAAAGAGGTAAATGAGTTGAAGTTGCCACCTCATAAGCTCTACCAAGAAGCAGTGTGTGCCCCGTTGGTTGTAGTTAGTTAAAGTGTTCATGGGCTTCTCAGTGCTTATGCCCAAGGTGCAGCATCATGAAGGTTCAAAGCACCAGGATATGTTGAAAAAACTCTCTCACCATATTTTCCCTCTACAGCTCTGAAAGTGAATCAGGCTCACAAAGTGCTTGTGATCAGCTTGTAACTCCTACTGCATTAGCAGCCTGTACCAGGGTGGATTCATGCTTTACTCCCTGGTTTGTGCCTGCCCTTGGGGTTTCAATCCAGTTTGCTCATTTGGAACTTCACCTTTGCCACCATTTGGATCAGCTGGGCACAGGTATGCATGATATACTCTCAAGAAGGAGACTATAATGGTTGTTTCAGCATTTATTCATCCTTGCCCCACCTGCTTTATATTTGCAGTTTTATTCATTCCTGGAACCATATGCTCAGATAACTTACACCTACTTATCGGTAGCAGGAATGCATAGGGAAGAGAGTGTGTTTCAGTCCAGTAACTGCAGAAGGTGTTGCGTTTTCTAAGCCCTGACTAACAGTCACAAGTGCCCCCCTCACATTATTCCGAACCATCTGATACAAATAGTTCAACTTTTTACAGTTGCTTGCATTCTTGCTCTGCTGCTGAAAGTTTTTACATCCACTTTAGCAAAGATCCTAAAGAAAACTCTAAGCACTGGAAGCTCAGTTGTTAGTCTGAAAGGAAATGGGGAAAGTCCATCTGTTTTTGTTCAGTACTATGCGCTGTTGCATTAATGGCAGTCTTACTCCCAGAAAGCTTGCTATGTTTGTCTGATTTCAAATAATGCTTTCCAGGAAAGATGAACAAATATCTAAGCACGTTGAAAAAGCAAGGCTTCTTACTGGAATAGTATTGTCTTTTTTCTTCTAACAGTAAAATACAGTGAATAACACATTTAAATAAGATTAATATACGCAGGCTTGAAAACAGTGACTTGCACTTCCTTTAGCTCTGTATGAGTCGACACAACCACTTCCATATTTTCGACATTTCAAATGTCAGACAATGAAAAAAGCAAAAGCAGCTTGAACCAAACACAGCTCCTGTTAGCATATGTAATTTCCTTTTTCAGAAAGCATTTTTCTTAGGCTGCTGTTAATTATCCTTGTTTTCTTTGCTGATTTATTCACAGTGGGACAATTAAGTATCCAAAGTTTTGGCTATTACAGACTAGCAGTCACAAAATATTACTGATTTCTAGAATAATGATTTTTTGCAAAATAAAAATGAATTGTTTTATACATTGGGTACCCATTTCTTTAAAATAATGTGTGCATTTTTAAAATTCTGTATGATTCCTTATTGTGTCTCGAACAGTACTGACTCCTGATACCTTGCCTTTATTCACTTGAAAATAGGATATATTTTGTTTTGCCGAGTCTTTTATATGTTCACCAGATGTTGACCCCCACCATTTCCATTCTAATTGAATTTTCCTCAGTTTGCACATATATCTAAACAAACAATATTGATGAGTTTATCTGAAGTATACCTTCAATACTAATTTGGTTTCCAACATTTTTTCCCAACCTCTCTAGTTTACTTTTATCTGAAGTACAGGTTCCTACTTCCCACATGGATAATCTTGATTAGCAATATTTGTCGTTTGGTGGTAATTTATTTTAGTACTGTATTACTGCCACTGTAATCATCACCATCATTAATATCACTGTAGTGGTAGTCTTATTGTAATAACCAATGGCCCATTTAGTGCTGGACCTTGGTACACAAATTTCTACATAACAGATAAAATATGTTCACTACTGCATTTATACCCCAACTTTTTGATACTGTTGCATAAGTTGTGGTTTATAACAAAATGACCTAGGTTTCAGGCCCACAGCACCCAAAAAAATCCTCTAGAGTTTATGAATCATTACCAGGTCATGACCTGTTTTATGACCTGTTTCATAACACCTCCTGTTTGTAAAAATGGATACACAGACGGGAAAGGAGGACATTTAATTCTTGGAAAACGTCTTAGGCAGAATGATTCAGGGAGGGGACAGTAGGAGTTAAAGCATGTATAGGCAAAAGGCCCGCTAATCCAGGAGAGCTAGATACAACCAAGATCATCAGTGCGCTGTTAACTTTATTTCAACAAGAGCCCATGGACAACAGGATGGTGGGGCAGATGGCCATCCAGAGCTTTGGGGCTCCAGCTCTAGTGGGCTCCCGTAACACTACTTCCGCATTATAGAATTCAAAGATATGAACATAGAGTTCCCAGACAGTTCTCATCTATATACTGACCAGACCCTGACCTGTTTTGGTGCTATAAGAATCCTATAACATGTGCCTTTAAACCATGTCTTGGATCTCATGCTTACATTACTACACACAAAAAGCAAAACCTTTAAGGTGTCAAATGGACATGCTTAATATTTGCAATTTAGAGTGAAAAAAAATATATAAAGTGTTTCTGCGGTATGATTCCAAGGCTTAGATAAACATGCCCTCCTTTAGACAGACAAAAGTGTACTATTCCTTTTTTGCATTGAATCTTTAGCAAATAAAATGTTATTCTTCAATATTAGTATTTAAATACACACTCCTATGCATGTTTTGACAGAAAAAAATCTTGCACTTCTCAGCATTCACATGCAGCTGACTGGGGGCTGTAAGACCTTTTTTTTCCTTTCAAAACATGCATTGGATTTGAGCCCAATATTTCAGGTTTGATTTTAATGTCTAGGGTGGTTATGTTGCTTCAAATGAGATAGCGTTTTCATAGAATAGTTACTATTTAAGTTCAACAAGTACATTGTATTTTATTGTAAAAAAATAAATTGATCTGCTCTAGAAAATTTGTGCCTTGATCATTCTATATCTCCTCAACTCTTTCATTCTCCATTTGTATTGTTGTATCTATTTGTATTTGATTCTCCCTCCTTTTTTTCTTCCACAGTGTCACCAAAGTTTCTTCATCCATTTATATCTGATAAAAGTGTGCCTTCTGAACTAGAATATTCAATCATTTCTTTCAAAGACCCACATATATATTTGAGACAGTGGAGTGATGGATCAGTCTTCAAGGAGATCCAGTTCTCTGCTAGGATTGACTGCAAACTTTTAGAATATAGAAATGCAACAATGCAGGCTGTTGTAAAGCCATTTGGCATATTTGGGCAGGTTGCGGTTTCTGGCAATTTAATAGAAAAATTACTAGATGGACATGTGATGGTGGATCCCATATTCATCAGTTTTGGGCAACATACTGTTCACTCTCTGCATAAAACTATTCAAGCTTGGCAACAGGTAAGAAAAACCTTAAAATATGAAATGAAAAACTCCATCTGATTCAAGATTTTATCAATAGCTTAATAGCATGACAAAATGGGATAGAGATAAGCTGACCACCCACAAGCCCTTGCTGCAGTACTACAAATATTATTCAAAGCAAATGGAAAGAGTAGGCATGCAAATAGAATACAGTGAGCCAGTTCACATGTATTGCCAAACCATGATTTAGTGTTTCAAGACCAAACTTTGGGTGTTACTTATTCTTTAGCAGAAACCAAAGTTTTCCTGTAGATCTCAACAAGTAAGCCTGTCACACCAGAAATGTAAATCATTATTTGATTGTGGTTTTAAATTCTTATTGGAGATCAAATGCAAACTATAGTTTGTCAGTTCAGATGTAACAGGACTTAGTTTGCACTAAGCCACTAACTGAATCTGGGGAAAACAGGGATGGGAGAAGGATCATGTAAGCCCATGGGACTTTTTTGATCCTCTAAACCACTGTTTGGATTCAAAAAGTAGAAAGACACTTCCATTCTTACCCCCTAAATGCTCTGGCGGTTCTCACTTAGGCTATAGCCCCATCCCAGGCCTTTCCAGAAGATGTTTTGATCCTCAAAAGCAGGTTTTCAGAGCAGGGGCTATTCTTGCAAAGGGAAGTAATCTGGTTACATGTAGAAATGTTCTCACTTCTTTGGATCCAACCCAAAGGCTTGAAGAGTCAGAATTGTGTCATCTAATCTGACTCACAGTAATTGGTGGCAGGATTGGCTCAGATATATGATGGCAGGTTTTTCATCCCTTCAAGTAGGAGAGTGCAACTCTCTTGGGTAGGACTAAAAGTCTAAGGAAAGTATAGCAAAAGCATTGGGAAATCCAGTCAGTCACTTTGTTACTAACATTTCCCAATAAGAAATTATAAAATTATGGCAGAGAAAGTCAAGTTCCATGAGCCATTTTGGATGGATAAAAGCTTGTGAAGTTGTGAACAGAATCTGACATGATGAATCATTGTAATATACAATAATAGTATTTTGTATGTAATAAAATTCTCTGCTGTATATGATAAGGTACTAAGAACCGCATCATGGTTCTTAGTACCTTATGTGAACCACATTACCAGTATCAAGGTCACATCATGTTACCTTCCCTAATTTCACTAAGGCCATTCACTACATTTTGTGTTGTATTCTCTAGGTGAAAAAGTAGTGATCCAAAACAATCACAGTATGTGCAGATCTTTTCTGTAATTATTCAGTGTCTTAAATTATTCCGGGCTATCCAGACATGCAGGAAAACAGTTCTCTTTACAGTCCAAATACATAAATGAAGTTCTGTGCATTAATTGCCCATCACAAAACTACAATAGTAAAGCTAGAAAAGATAAAACATCTGTTTCATATCAGAGTTTCTTTTTTCAAGGCATTCCATGGTTTTCTTATTGTAAAAGGACGTTCATAAAACAAGAGCTAGTGTGATTTAAATCTTTACAGCTGGTTCAAATATCACTGTGAAAAAAGAGTCTTTGTAGCTCCAATTTCTGCTTTTTGTCATATTTTGAGCAATGTGCTTAACAGAAAACAAGCAAACAGAGTTTTGGATGAGGCCTGTTACGCACGGGCTGGTGGGGCAGCAACTACTGCAAAATGGCCTTCAGAAAGGTTCATTGCTTTGTGCAGTTAAAATGTCTCTCAGACTCCATATACATATAAATAAAATGCAGTGTATAAATATTTAAATGTTTGAGACCACATCAGAGTGTGAATGACTGACTTGGACTACAGGGTGCCTTAAAGGAATATTCTGGCTTGGAAACAACAGAATTGTATATTTGATTAAGTGGAGCCATATGTTGCATAGCAGCGTATTCCTGACAGGTACATTCTGTGAGTAGTTGGGTCTGATTTATACATGGTAGTGGCAATGTTCAAATGGCCCACAGGAGGAGATGCTTCTGTAATTGTTGTTGTAATTTTCTCGTTTCCTCTCATGTCGAGAGCTCTTGCCACCAACTTCTGATGTGGTGGGTGGGTCTCTAGCTCAGAGTGCTCTTGATTAAAAACTCACCCTACTTTTAAATTAGGGGACATCAGACACAAAAGTGGGCTTAGAACTGCTTATTAACGTTAATTGTGAACAACATGTTCCTTATGTGGCTTCCCTTCTGCCACATACCAAAAATTAACTTCCCACTGCTAAGTGTTGTTTGGTGTATCGTGTTCACAATCAACACATAATTCAGAAGAATGCCACCATTAGCTCAATCCTTCACATTTTCTCACTCAGTATCCGAGACAAGTAATTTTGTATACAGTATAGATGAGAGCTGACATATAAAGCATAAAACAATTTGGCCTTACACCTTAAGGTCAAGAGTTCAAGATTAACAGAAGCCTCTGTCAGTATTTGTTTTTCCAAATAAGTAGACTAATTTTTTTCCCTTAAATAATGATGGAAGTTTTAGGAGTAGATTAGGTTTTAAAGACTTCACTAGGCTCTTTGCTTAATAATTCTGGGTCACATGTTCAAATCCCAGGATGATGGATTATTTTTTAATGTTTTAATTCCCTTGCATTGGTGACTGTTTTGCAATCCAAGGTCTCAGTCCCTTGCAAATCTACTTGGAAGCAAGTCTCATTGAACTCAGTAATAGTTATGTCTGAATAAACCTGTATAAGATTGTACTGTTATCTCACAAGAGGTGCAAACCAGCCAAAGCATTTTAATGTGCTGAATTTTAAACATCTGATCAACTGTCCCATTTAAATCAGTTGGACATTAGCATTCTAACTTTAGCCTGATTGTGTTCTACTGGTGATATTAAGATACATTTAAATGCAAAGCTTAGTCACTCATGGTAGAATTCTTGGAGGGTTGTGTTGTTTTGCCAACAAAATTATGCTCCAGTAAAAAACTATTTGCTATCAGATATGTGCAGTTTGAACTGCAGCAACATGTTTTATATGCATGCATACATATATACATGTGTGTGTAAAATTAACATATGCTTAACATGGGAAAAATGTATCAGTTTTTTTAAAAAAATATGTAAGATTATGTAAGTAAAATGAAAATATGTAAAACTGAATCACTTGTACATAGCACTTCTAGTTATTTCTTGAAAAATATAGTCCCTTAAAATAAAGAAATACACTGGAAAATTGCATATTGACTATATTATTTTAAAGGACTATATTTTAAGTACATGTGCATACATGTTTATATTTAAAATAAAGTAAAACTGTAGACTGGGTCAGTTGAGTAAAATACCCTAAGTTAATATCCACTGGATATTCTTTAGGAGAAATGTAAACCATTTTACCAGGACAGTCTTATTAAGTTTTCTCTGAAGTGCCACAGAACTTATTAGTGGTCACTTCTTAAACATAAGGAAATGAAAATCTGACTCAGTCAATTATCTCATTATCACTCTGCCAGGGAGGTTAGGATATTGTAGAAAAGTACAAGCACATGTAAAACAAGGCTATCAGATCATTGTATTCTCTCTCTCTTGACAAAAGTTTGGTCCTTCTTGCTGCTAAGAATGCTTTACACATTACTACATTTATCAACCTGAATCCCAAGCCTATGTCTTAAAATCCAGGTTAATGATCTGAATGTATAGGTGGCATTCCCAAGAAATGATTTGCCTTCAGAACAACCTGGAAAGCCTTGAGCTTTTCTGAGCCATTGAAACTTACGTTCCATACATCTTGATGGGTTTTAGTGATTCAAAAAGCTTGCTATTGTAGTCAATACCTCAAAGACCCCAGAGCTAGTAATCAACATAAAGCTCCAGTTGGTAGTTGGTTTTTCTAGAGGTTTCTCAGAATGAGTACAGGAAAATGACAAGCTAAGGCATGGTGGTCTCTCAGAGTTGCTGGTCAATGCTCTGAACACTCTCTCATTTTGCAGATCCTCTTCTCCCTTCTGGCAGCAAGAATGCAAAAGCAAATGGTCAAGTAAATTTTTTGCATAACGCCCCCTGCATGCCAGAAATAGGCATTTCAGGGCATAGAATGAAAGAGAAGTAGGAAAAGCAGCATGTTCACTTGTTAGTAGTATCCAATTTAAAAGGAACAAGTGCCAGAGACAAAGCCTGTGTGGAAACTGCATTTTTACCCTGAATGCATAAGGACATGCTATATGGTATTCAATGAAGCAGAAAAATCCCTCCTTAATTGCTGAGAGGCTTTCAGTCGTAAGAGTGAAATGGCTGAGACCTGGTAAGTCTTGGAATAAAATCAGCATTGTGTGTTGAGCAAGAATGATCCACACAGACATACAGGAGTGTTCATGCAGCTTCTCTTTCTCCTTACTCTGAGTATAGAGCAAGAACGGCTTTTCATCTTGGTTATCTGCTGGTTTGTTGCTCATTCAAGCCCCTCTTTTGCTTCTCTGTACAATCTGTTCCAACTGAGGAGGGGCTTTCTAAAAATGATACAAGCCTGGCCAGAGGTGACTTAAGAGTCGGTTGACTAAGCAAGTATTCAAACTGGCTAGAGGTTACAAGTTGTTCTAATGGTCACCAATACATCCTTATAGATAAAGTTTGTGTGACTTGTTGAAGAGCCTGCAGAGCAAGGTAAAAAATAGACCACTTATATTGATTCCATCTTGGTGTGTTATGCTGCACACATTAGATGAGTGGAAGAAATGAAAAGTGACTCAGTAAGTTCAGTGAGGAAAGACAGCTTACATCCATACTTGTATCTGCCCTTTTAAGTAGATAAAAGCAAGTACTGTGGTACTCCTTTTTTTTTTTTTTTTTTTGACAGAAAAGTGATTTATTCTTACAAATGCTGCTTTTGGATATTTCAAAGAGGTTTCCATTTCTACATCCTTGACAATGACAACAAAAGGACTTTAGTTTTAATAATTATACAAAATTGTTTTATTACAATATATTTAAACCTTGCAAAAAGCCTGTGTAGATAGGCTAGAAGACTTGCAGTAGGCTTGGCAGCTGATCAGGAATTTGAACAGGGAACTCTTTGTTTGGGTCCAACATGCTG